TCCTTAATTAGATTTTCTGAACCTAGCCTAATTACTTTTTCTATACTTACTATGCCCGAAAATATTTCCTTATGTGCTATGTTCCAGTCTTATGTGATCTCTTTCCTTATTTTATCACTGTTTGTTACCGTTTGAATTTTAAACTCCTTAATTAAAGGAAGTACCTATACTGATTTGATAGTAATTGATACCTAGTTCCATAATNAGTTAGTGCCGAATAAGCACACGGAAATCCGACCCTCGGGCACAAATACCACAGTATAACCGGTAAAAAGGCAAATAAATATGCAAGATGAGCACATAAAAGTTCGCCCTCGGGCAATATCTCAAAACAGTACCAGCCCCTCGGGCTCACTCTTAGAACACTCTCAGCCCTCGGCTCTCTCTCTCTCTCAGATCACTCTCAGAACAGTATCATATAGTAACCGCTGCGGCGTGCAGCCCGATCCACATCTTGCTGCGGCGTGCAGCCCAATCCATATATCGTCGACGGCGCTCACTGGGGGTGTGCAGACTCCGGGAGGGGCCCCTTACGGCCCAAGCGCAATATCAAGCCACCTCGTGGCATATAACATAAGGCCTGAAAGCCTTCTCACATCACACTCAAGGCCTGAAAGCCTCCTCACATCACACTCGAGGCCTGAAAGCCTCCTCACATAACACTTGAGGCCTGAAAGCCTCCTCACATAACACTCGAGGCCTGAAAGCCTCCTCACATATGGCCCTCGGCCTCACTCAGTCCAGAAAACATCATAAGCCCCTCGGGCATCAATAAAATAGTAGTGCTCAGCCCAAACAACAGTGGAAATATCATTTAAGTCTCAAAGTTCAATTAAAGCGGCTGAGTTTGTAAAACAGTATAATCAACAGGACTGAGTTCAAGTAGTATATCAAAATAGTGAGGAAACAGTGATAAAAATCCCCGAAGGGTTCAGATAATTGGCACGAAGCCCAATTGCCCAAATCATGATAATAACAAATAAGTTTCAGTCAAAATATACGGTAAAATCATCAATCGGGACGGACCAAGTCACAATCCCCAACGGTGCTCTACCCCACGCTCGCTATCCGGCGTGCAAGTCACCTCAATATAGCACTACGGTGTGCAATTCGGGGTTTCAAACCCTCAGGATATCATTTACAATCATTACTCACCTCGAATCGGTGAAATCCCTAGCTCGCGACGCCCTTGCCCCGCAAATCGGCCTCCACGCGCGTCGAATCTATCCAAAACCAGAACGAATACGTCACAATATGCCAATGGAACAATACCTTATCGAAAACAATCGAAAAATATTAAAAATCTCAAAATTAGCAAAACCCGAGCCCCGAGCCCACTTCTCAAATCTCAGAAATTTTCACATTAATAGATTCCTTATCTTCTCACGAGTTCATACATACCAAGAAATCTCAAATCCGAGCTCAAATGACCCATCAAATCCCAATTTGACATATCAAAATTCAAGCCCTAGTTCTTCAATTTTAGGCTTAATTTCCCTAAAATTCAAGGTTAATCTCACATAATAATCGCGTTTTAAGATCATAGAACACACCTCCAATCAATCTCAGTCGAAATCCCCTTCAATTCCCGTCCAAAAGCTCTCAAGGATGTTCAAAAATGGAGGAAAAATAGCTTAGCTCGCGGAACAAAATGAACTTTTAAAACCCTTCTGCCCAGACATTTTTCCGCATCTGCGGTCCGCTTTTCGCTTCTGCGACTTTCGCTTCTGCGGAAATCTTCCGCTTTTGCGGAGCTTCACTAATTGCCCAGGACCGCTTCTGCGGTCTAAATCCGCTTCTGCGGACTCCGCTTCTGCGGGCCTCTATCCGCTCCTGCGAAAACCAGTCTCCCTAGCACCTCTCGCACCTGCGACCCCATTTTCGCATCTGCGGAACCGCATCTGCGGCCCCTTTTCCGCAGATGCGGAAATACCAGAACCAGCAAATCTCTGAAACAACACAAGTCCAAAATTCATTCCGATAGCCATCCGAAATCACCCCGAGGCCCCCGGGATCTCAACCAAAAGTACCAACCCATCCTAAAACATCATTCAAACTTGGTCCAATCATCAAAACACCTCAACCAACACCAAAAATCATCAATTTACATCGGATTCAAGCCTAAGTTCTTTTAAAACTCTCGAAACTCGCATTCGATCAAAACCCAACCAAACGACGCTCGAATGACCTGAAACTTTACACACACATCCCAAATCACTTAACGAAGTTACAGCAACTCTCGGAATTCCATTCCGACCCTCTGGTCAAAATCTCACCTATCAAACGGAATTCGCCAAAATACTAACTTCGCCAATTCAGGCCTAATTCTACACCGGACCTCCAAAATCACTTCCGATCACACTCCTAAGTCATAAATCACCCAACGAAGCTAACCGAATCATAAAAACTCCGATCCGAGCTCATATACAAATAAGTCAACTCTTGGTCAAACCTTTCAAATTCCAAGCTTTCAACTGAGACTGTTCTTTCAAATTCGTTCCGATTTTTCCTGAAAAACCAAAACCAACGGTCTACATTAGTCATAATACATAACACGGGGCAAGTCGTGCCCGGGAACTGGCGATCAAAGTGCAAAAGCTCAAAACGACCGGTCGGGTCGTTACACCTTAGTATCTTTTTAGTTCTACGGGTAGAGAGGTCGTTGAATCCATAATTGGTTGAAGCATTTTTTTTTTGAGAAAATATCCAACATTCAACATGATGTAGAGCTTCTAATACTACATGAATTTCTTATCTTCTAAAGCTAAAAAAATTGTGCAGGAATCTCGCTTTGGTATATCTATTGGAAAAGCCTATGGTGTTCTCAACCAAAGCAGTAAGTTGTTATTCACATTCTTATTGCATGTATGCTTATATATTTGCATATTTTATTATCTTTAATCATGCGTTTATTATGTATTTCATTAAATTTTGATTTTCTTGATGGGATTAGATTCTTGATAAACACGGTGACGATTGATGCATTCTTAGTACTATTCCATTTATTTTTGGTATTTTTTTATCTTCGACATTAGAATTAATATTCTTTTCAAATGAGCTTTTTTGGGTTGAGGGGATGTGTTTACGCTTTTGGTTTAGGATTTCATATCACTTTGACTATCCATTGTAAGGGCGTAAATATTATGATGAGGTTACTCATTTATCACACAGATAATCTTCCCAAAATTTGACCTCATAAACTGAGTCTTTTTAGGACAATAAATACTAATGTTATATTTATATGTACTTTTTTTCAAATAAGATTGTAAGGTTGCGCTCTTATCAAATAGTGATAAAACGAAAAGAGATGCATAACTAGCGACTTTGAGCTTGTGATTTTTGTACATATTGGCTTCTTGATTCTTGATTTTTCTGTCGTTTAATAGTTTAGTTATTTAATCATGTATAGTTTAGGACCACAATTTCCTTTATGGTGCTTGATTTGGACTTTATAATTAAGTAGTTCTACTTCATTCTTTTTGCTTAAGTTATTGCACAAGTTATTGCACGTGTTTCCTATATCAATAAGTATAAACTTTTTAAGAATCACACAAATAAATAAATATTTTTGTATCAAACATGTATGAATTATAAAATAATACATTTCTTAAACATAAATTATATATTTTTTGTTTCAGAGAATAATGTAAACTACCTCTACGCCAAATCTATGCTCAGTCTGAAAATTATTATTATTATGTATAAAAACAAGAGACAATAAATATTATAGACCTATTTGAAATATATTTTAAAAAGATGTTTTGAAATTTTTTTATGATGGTTGAAGGAACAGAAGAAAAGTAGAAAATTGTTATTCTTAGTGGCGTTTTTTTTCTAGAAAAAATGGAAACCGAGTTCAAAAACTTTGATTACTCACATATAAAATCTTTTCTTCACGAAACTGATCAATATGTTCGAATAATCAAATAAAAGGAATTTTGGCACTTAATCCATCGGAAGACTTATGCGAGACAAAGGTTCTTCCTTTATTAGTAAGTGAAAAAGAATATTCATCGCTTTCGGCTCACGCTTTTTTCCTCTAATTTTCAGTTTACAACTCAAAGATATTATGTGTAATTTTTTAAATTTTTATTTTTATTGATAAGGTGCGCGTACCCTAATACTAGTAAAATTAAAAAGCACTGCAAGGGAACAAAAAGTATAGTCTATTATACAAATTTACAAATATTGAGAACTCACCTACCTTTAACAAGGAAATAACACTAAAGTAGCAGCTATTTAACTTCACTCTATACTAGAAATCACAAACTTTATACCCTTTCACTGGCTCTATCATAAGAAAAACAAATTTCCTTAAAAAGTATACATCGAAAATTCTGGTTTGTTACTTCTCTAGCATCTATGGATGCAAAGGCACTATGGGCTAACAGTCAGAGGCGGATCCTGAATTTAAAGTTTATGGGTTCTTATAATGACCTCAAGTAAATATACAATAAGTAACTTGGTTCACAATCAAATATTTATGGATATTTTAATGTATATACAGGATATGTGCAAAAGCTAAAAGCTACTGTATTCTCGTTGAGAACCCACACCTACTAACTAAGCTGGATCCGCCCCTGCTAACAATTAAAGGATATGTATTCAAAAAGAACATAACCAGGGGCCGTGCTTTTCCTGGTACATATAGACATATAGTAAGCAGGCACAATTTTTAAAAGATAAATCAAACTGGAACAATACATTTTCGCACAAAGAATAAACTCCAACATCAGAACATATAGCATACCAGTAAATGCTTCAAGATTGCCAAAGGGAAATGATCAAGTAGAGAATTAAAACACAACACAACTTTCAAATAAACAACTAAAGTCTCATTTCATACTCACAGAACAATTAGGCATGAAATGTGAAAAAACCTTGGTATCATAAAACATACTAGTCAGAACATCCATCCAGATACACTTGTTCCAAACTAATATACTCTACTCACTATCTTAACAATTGCTGATGATCAAGCAGGATTCCAACTGCGGACACTAATCTACATTATATGCAACTTCTGCTTTAGATGATGCCCGCTGAAATTTTGTTATCTCAGCAACTACTTTGAGAGATTTTTTATCTTCCAACGTATCGTAAGGGTCGATTACCATTCTGACCAGTGCTGGAGACTTGGCCAATACAAGCTTGATAAGCTGCATTTCAGGCCATGTTCCTGCTACACCTATAAGCTTAACTGCCCTGAGGTGATTCAATGTCACATCTGAGAAGCTTGCAGGAATTTCAGTAACATAATCCCTAGTAGCTGGATCAAGCATTTTATCTGGATCGGGATATTCATTCGGGTGAAAACATTGATACACCTAAGAAGGATAAAGAAAAATTGAAGTTAGATTGAAAAATCTGCTTACTATCAAATAATAAAGTCATTATGTAGGAATAGCACAGATAAAAGAGCGAGAAAAACATCATTAAGAACCTTCATTTCAATATCTTCTAAATATGGAGAGCTCCTTATCAAGCAAAGAGCATCTTGAAGATCATGTAATTCATCCAGGCACATCGAATCCATGTAAAGATGTTTCAGACAATTCAGAGCAGAGGAAAGCCTTCTTGGTACTTCAACTGCTTCAGCAAACAAACGCTAGGAAGATAATGCGAAAAATCAGGATAACTCAAAGCCCAAAAGATGTTACATACAATTATGAAAATGCATTACAATGAAGTCACACTTACCCAAAACCTATAGCAATTCCAGTGGAGATGCTCGAGAGCATGAATAGGCTCAAAAAACTTGGCAAGATCAGGTTTTCCTGCCTTCACAGAAAATTGTCTAAACAGAATCGAAACTTTTGCGAGAAGAGGGACATTTTGCAAACGAATTATATGTATACCGCCTATGAAGAAAAATGACCTCAGCTTGGGAGCATTGACTTCAATGTTATTTAAATCATATGACGGTTCCAGCACCAAATGCTCAAGCAACGGGGAATTGGAGATTAAACTTCCAAGAAATTCAGAAGAAATTGTGACTTGACATAGTTCTAGGCTAATTAGCTTATCAAATCCCTTAAAGCCTGGTGGAGGATGTATTATACATCTTTGGAGGGTCAAATGTCTCAAATGCAAACATGTGAAAAATGAAGAAGGCAATTCATATGGGCTACCGCTACCAGTATGAATTTTAAGTACAAGATGCTGAATGCCATTCTTGGAGAGGAAACATATCAAATTGTCAATCTTAGGACATTTGACAAAACAAGGAAAACAAATGGTTAACTTTGTAATTGGTCCTGCATGAAGTTTTAAAATGTGGGAGACAATCTTTCGAAAAATACTTGCCATGTATGTTAGATTCCTACAAGGTCTCCAGAGTGTATGATCAAGCGTCAACTGTGGAAGTCTACACCACTTATATATCCATATCTTTGATAAGATGCTTGTCCTCACAGCATCTCGTAAAGGCAACTTCATTAGAATGTCATCGATTACACTCTCGGCAAGGTTGCTAAGTACATCAGGGGGGTAAATGTTGCTTTTTGCCGTGTGGAGGCATCATAATAAATGATTGCTAACAAGAATCTGCAGAAAATAAACAAGAATAAGATAGTTAAGGAATCTTCAAATAGTCTGCCTTTTTTAGGCTTATTTTAATTGAACCACAACCATATGCACGTGCCGACTTTTCTTTCTCACAGCTTAAAATTACTGTAACCTTGAACTCTTGGAACACATCTAAAATGTATTTGGTACACAATTAGAATATGCATATGATTACACATTTCTTTTAAAAATAATAACTGGTCCGAGTAAACTATTTTTACCACACAAAAAAGGTACTGCAGGAAGGAAAGTGAGAAAAAACCAAAAACAAACATTACACTCTCAAATGACCTAAAAAGACTTCATGAAGCCTAAAACGAAAGAAACCATCTAAAGACATGAACGTCTACTCCCTCTATTCATTCATTTATGATGTTTAGCTTAAAGTATATATATTTATATGTATATCGCCGCATGTTATTCTTTTGTTTCATGGATTTAGGATGTAAAATGTGTTGATTTATACTAATTTGAGGTGTTTTTATGTGTAGGAATGATCCAGGAGCAATTGAGGGCGAAAGGTGCGACATTAGAGCCAAAACGGAAGAAAAAGCAAAAAATGGCATTTTCAGCGCCACAGGCAGCGCCCCACGCTACCTGTGGCGCCAGAGGCAGTATGCTCCAAATTAACAGCGCCAGGGACAACGCCTAGCGCTGGGCTGGGTGCTAGTGGCGTGAATCCTGTCCAATTTTGCTCGGGACAAGATTATTTCAGCCCTAGACCTACCCAACACGTATAAAAGCAAGACTAAGCTTATTTTTAGAAGGGAGACGCCACTTTGAAGAGGATTTACACACGAGAAACATTCGGGAGCAAGAATATCTCAGATTTCTTCATCTTTTCTTAGTATTTTCAATTATCCGAAAAGGTTTGCCAAATACTAATTGTTGCTCAAAAGTGATTTTCAAAATATTTCAAAATAATTAACACAAATTGCTTCTCACCATAAGTACTTCTGAAAAAAGCACTTCTCAAAATAAGCTGTTTTAGGAGTTCGGCCAAACAAGCTATAAATCATGTGAATCTCTTTTTGGACTTTGTTAGCTCCTTAAATTTTGTACAAGAGCTAGCTTCATTTCGTAATATTTTCCACACTGAATGCTTCGTCAAGAAAAAGAAAGAAAACAATGATAAAAAATAGTGAATGACAAGAAATTAAAGGCATATAAGCATAGACCAGTGCCTTTCCTGGTTCATATAGACAGAAAATTAAAGATCAATCAACTGGAAACAAATAATACATTTTGGCATGAAAAAAATAAAGAAACACAGCTTAACTACTGCATCAACATCTGTTTCTATTTTTAAACTTCAACTTCAACTTCCAAAATATATAGCTAAAGATCATGATCTGATTAAAGACTGGCGAAGTCAAGCAAGATATTAACCGGAGATATTAATAGAACTATACATCATATACAACTTCTGCTTTAGATGACGCCCGCTGGAATTTTGATATCTCTGCCTTTACTTTGACATATTTTCTACCATTCAATGCATAGTGGGGGTCGATTACCATTTTGACCAGCGCCGGAGACTTTGCCAATAGAAGCTTGATCAGCTGCATTTCAGGCCTTCTTCCTGATATATTTATAAGCTTAACTCCCTTGAGGTGATTCAATGTCATATCTGAGAAAGCTTCCTCTTTAAGACATCTTAGAGTTGGCCAAATATTATAATCAGCGTCTTCTTCATCCACCTAAGAAAGATTATCATAAATCCATCTCTCTAAACTCACTGAGGATAAAAAGTAGTATAAAAGGCAGTTCGATGCACAAAGCTCTCGCTATGCGCGGGGTTTGGGGAAAGGCCGGACCATAAGGGTCTATTGTATGCAGCCTTACCCTGCATTTCTGCAAGAGGATGTTTTCACGGCTTGAACCCTGACTTCCTGGTCACATGACAACAACTTTACCAGTTACGCTAAGGTTACCTTTCGTAAAAAGTAGTATGAAAATAAAAAAGAAAAAAAAGGCCGGACCACAAGAGTCTATTGTACGCGGCTTTACCCTATATTTCTGCAAGAGGTTACTTCCACAGCTTGAACCTGTGACCTCCTGCTCACATGGTAGCAACTTTACCAGTCACGCCAAGGCTGAGGCTCCCTTTCATAAAAAGTAGTATGAAAATAAGGAAGAACGGAAAGTCAAAAACCTGAATTTTCAGATATTGCAAACATGGGAAGCTTCTAATCAGGCAAAGAGCAAATGAGATGAACTTGAATCCATTCAGAGAAATCTCAAATTTATTTTCTAAATTTGCTTAAAAGCTTTGCCAAATACCCCACCTCTTTAAAATAAGCACAAGTTACTAATTTTCAATATGAATTTTGACATAAAATCTTCATTTTTTTTTAAAAAAAATATTCACATATTTAGTAAATACATAAAAAGCACTACCAGTTATAATAGTCAGTACTTTAAATTATCGTTAAAATATCTAGAAAATTATGGTCAAATAAAGGTTTCTTTACTCTCTAAACAGTAATAGTGCAACAAAAAGTAAAAAAGGAAAAACAAAGACTATAACCTCTCCTAATGTTTTAGCTCTAACGTTCACCTTTCTTATTTTGATTTTGTAACAATTCTTTTACATGTTTTTCATTAATGTCAAATAAGACATAGTTTAGACAAAAAAATTCCTTTACTAATATTAAATTCTTAATATAATATGTGTAATTTGAAG